CCATTCTATGATTCTGTGATTCTGTGATCTTTGGTGTTGTAGTCTAGCTGATATGAGTAACTAGTCAGTGACTTGTTACTGTGTCATTAAGAAAGAAAAGCACAAGAGCGTAGAAGAAGAAGATAGAAGGGTGGGCTTGTGAGTCCCTAGAGTTAAGCAGTTTTCACTCTGAGATCCCTGAAAATGGTATAAATAACTTAACACTTGGACTTTGTACATGCAGTGAGGGAGCAAGAACATTTTTGCCATTTGAGGTGCACGTGCAAGTACAAGTGGATTCCTGTTCCGATTTTGCTGTTGTATCCAAGGAGCAGCTTGTGGAAGGTGTAAGTTTGCAAAGCGTTTGTTTGCTTGATACAGTTGTAGTTTGTTTTTAGGGTCAGAGTCTTAGGAAGTTTGAGCCCAAGTATAGGCTGCATACATCTCTGAACTACTTTTGTAATTGCTTATTGTTCATTCTCAGTTTATGTGTGTGCATACAGTTGTATGATGTCTTCCCCTCCAGTTATGTCTCCTGTGCTACAATGCCCTGAGCATACTTAGCTGTTTGATTAACAGCAGTAAGCTTGGCCATGTCTGATTTCCACGTCGCATACTAAAATCTTCACGTGGCTCAAAGCTGTAAGATACTTTCTACATGGTTCAGAGAGTCCCCAGAGCTTGAGGAGTGATTCGTGCATGGGAGGTGATTGTGTCTCCTTGGTGATTCTGTTGCTCCAGTGAAAGACAAGACTGCAGAGTCAGCTGTGCTTGCTGGCTGGTTCCCTGCCCTAGCTGAGGGTTTGGCTTATGCCACAGCCAAAGCCAGTTCTGTTTTCTGATCAGTCACACAGTGCAGCCTTGGCATTGCAATGGCACCTGAGTGCCAGTGGCCTCTTGTAGATCAAAAGCCGCAGCCTGGCCACCCATGGTGTTGCCATGGTCTGTTCGAGCTACGTGCTGGCCACGTCTCTGAAAATCACAGTCAACATCTGCTGAATTTGGTATCCAAGGTTGAATGTAAGAAAAATCAAGTTACTGTGAAGCACTGTGCCATAACTAGCCTGTGGCTTAGTTTCTGCATTTGAAAGATAAAGAACAAAGATGCTCAATAAGGGCCTTGAGGCTTATCTGTTGTATTTTGTCACATCCAACCACTTGGAGGTGAAGACTGTAGTTTAGTTAGCTCAGCTAACTGACTGGTTGGGGATTCTTGTATTTCCGTAGGTACAACATTGATCCTGGCTTGTACTGTCCATTTTTCTCTCTTGGGGCTTGCATGGAAGGTTTGAACTCTTTGTTCAGCCAGCTCCTAGGAATCTCCCTTTATGCTGAACAGACACAGAGAGGAGAGGTTTGGTCTGAAGATGTTCGAAAGTTGGTAAGTATCCTTGTTCCCAGCATCTGAAATGATGAAGGGAAGTAAGACAAGATGGTGTGTTCCTCTGATCCATAGATCAGATTTTGTTTTTAAATTCCTCTGGCACTAGTTGTCTAATTTCAGGTGAAGGTAGACCTCAGGGGCTTTATACATTCTCTAAGTGCCTTTTGTTTACTTAGTATTTTATGGCCTTTACAGTATGACTCTGTCTGAACCAGAAGCAGTTTCTCTGTTTGGAGACAGTCATACCGTTTAAGTTGACCTTCTGAATGAGCCCTGCTAGGTTTTTTTAGTTAGAATTTATAGATGACTAGATGACCAGTAGGTGCATATTCTAGAAGTCATGTGTCTTTGCCTCAACTTTTTTATTCTGTGTGTCATTTTTACTTTGAGATTCTATTACTGCTGACTTCTCAGATGTCATTTAAGGGCTCTGAAGTGTTACTTTTAATAATAATTTGTGACTAATTAATTTTAATGAGATGTAGAAATGGCTGTAGTTAGAGGTACAAGTTTTGTGTCTTACTTTTTTTTTTTCCAACTAAAATTACCAACAGAATTTATATTAATTATTTCCAATTTGGTTGTGATTTACTCATGATAAACCTTTGGATTAGAATACTATGTCTTCAATTTATGCATCCTATCAGTGCTCTCATTGTGGAAATGATACTTCTTTTTCTTCAGGCCGTTGTTCATGAAACTGAAGGTTTGCTAGGATACATCTACTGTGACTTCTTTCAGCGACCTGATAAACCACATCAGGTAATATTTATGACCAGATTCCAGTGTGGGTTTTATGGGAGAAATCACTGTAGCAATAGGGCTATTTGCATTCAGTGAGAGTTGAGTAAAATTTATCTAGTTTTAAAATAAATTTAAACAGGGAAAGTCTGTAACTTCAAATATGGTTTTAGTTAAAATATTTTTGTGAGTAACCTTTCATTTAAAGAACATCAACTGACAGGCTGAACTCAGATTTTTACAGAATGTCAAGCACTATGAAATGTTTAGAACTCTGTTTAGAGAAATTACAGGGTTTTTTAAACAGCTATTTTCTGGCCTACTATTTACAAGTAAAAACAATCTGAAATTTTAATACCCTCAAAAGGTAAAAGCTCATAATGACAGCTAATTTTTATCCAAAATTATGCCTAAAACTGTAAGTGGTTCTAGCTGTTGGGGCTCACTCGCTCATGCTGCCTGGTACCAGTATACGAACTATATGATGCAGTACAATAGACGTTTCATTCTGCAAATTATCACCTTTAGTGAGGTGGTAAGTGAAGAAACTTTAAATTAATGTTAGCTTAATACGTTTCTCTGTTTTGCTAATATTTCACAATACACTGTGAGTGCTGTGCAGTATATTTTATAAAGAAGTTGCTGGTGAGGAATGAGGAGAGAACTTGATCTATAAATTATGGATTAGATACATCAGAAAATTTCTTTGAACTACTGATATTTTTTTTGAAAAATGGAGAGGTTTTGATAATTCTAAAACAAACAAGCAAAAATTCATTTTCTAAAAACCACACAGTCTTTATGTAAAAAGTAGTTTTCATATGAGTGTGAAGCAAACAGTCAGGATGGAGAAAGAGCATGCTGCTATTGTACAGTGTTGCTAATGATCATTGAATTCAACTTGTGTAGCTATATTTAGGTTTGATTTAATAGTTTCATAATTTCATGATTATTTTAATATCATTGATACGATACTGGCTGTCCATATGTTTGTTTTTTTCTTGAAAAGGATTGTCACTTTACAGTTCGTGGAGGCAGGCTAAGGGAAAATGGAGAGTACCAGCTGCCTGTAGTTGTTCTCATGCTTAGCCTGCCCCATTCGACAAGGAGTGCCCCAACGCTACTAAGTCCTGGCATGATGGAGAATCTCTTCCATGAAATGGGACATGCTATGCATTCTATGCTAGGAAGAACTCGGTATCAACATGTCACTGGTAAGAAAGTTAGAACAGTGATGGTTTTTATTTCAGTTAAATATTTAATTTCTGGAAGAAGGGAATAGTTTTTTTCTTGTTAAAAAATGAAGGAAGAAAAAAACCTCAACAAACCAACACCAGAGAAAAAAAAAGGATGAACTAGAAAAACTTGAGTCGTGTTGTTACTCTACGTCTCTGATAAACTGAAAAGGCAATATGAGAACTGCAGATATTATGTAAAATCCAACCAAACAACACTTCAATATTTTTCTTCTCTCTTTACGCAAGAGAGCAACTGGAATATATTGAGATCTATCCAGGGGCAGATGAGGAGCAAGTCGATAGTTTGTGGGTTAGAATGAAGGGGCAGGCTAGCATAGGTGATACTGTGGTGGGTGTCTGTTACAGACCACCTGATCAGGAGGAGAAAGTTGATGAGGCTTTTTACAGGCAGCTGTCAGTAGCCTCTCAATCACAGGCCCTGATTCTCATGGGGGATTTCAACTCCCCAGATACTTGCTGGAAGGCCTACACAGCCAACCAGTCCAGGAGGTTCCTCCAGTGCACTAGTGATAATTTCTTGATGCAAATGGTGAATGAACCGACCAGGAGAGGAGCACTGCTGGACCTTGTGCTCACCAACAAGGAAGGTCTGGTTGAAGCAGTGAAGGCTGAGGGCAATCTTGGCTGCAGCGACCATGAGGTGGTAGAGTTCAGGATCTTGTGTGGTAGGAACAGAATACCAAGCAGGATCGCAACTCTGGACTTCAGCAAGGCCAACTTTGGCCTTTTCAAGCAATCGCTAGGGGATACCCCATGGGACAGGGTACTAGAAGGTAAAGGGACCCAAGAGTCATTATTCAAGGACCCCTTCTTCCATGCTTAAGATCAGTGCATCCCAACAGGGAGGAAATCAAGAAAGAGCCACAAAGATGATGAAGGGAGTGGAACATCTCCCTTGTGAGGAAAGGCTGAAGGAGCTGGGTCTCTTTAGCTTGGAGAAGAGGAGGCTGAGGGATGACCTCATAAATGTTTATAAATACGTAAAGGGGGAGCATCAGGAGGACGGAGCCAGGCTCTTTTCAGTGATGTCCAATGAAAGGACAGTGGGTACAACTTGAACACAGGAGATTCCACAAAAATATTAGAAAAAACTGTGTCCCTGTGAGCGTGGCGGAGCACTGGAAGAGACTGCCCAGGGAGGTTCTGGAGTCTCCTTCTTTCAAAACCTGCCTGAACATGTTCCTGTGTGACCTACTGTAGGTGATCCTGCTCTGGCAGGGGGGCTGGACTAGATGATCTTTTGAGGTCCCTTCCAACCCCTGACATTCTGTGATTCTGTGATTAAGAATTAGGCATTTGTGTCTCTTCTTTCTGTACTGCTGATCTCTGCTCTGGTGGTGGTATTCACTCTTGCAAGTTTGCCTTATGTGAAGTTTGTAATAATGGAATAGTTGGAGGATTGAAGATAAATTGAGCTCAACTTGTACCCAGTTTAAAAGCACAGTGAGTCCTGGGTTGGAAATGATTTAGGAAATTGAGTTAAGGAAAATTAGTAACTTAGTTGTTGCAAAGAGCATACCCTGACAATATGGAAAGTGTTTAAAGCCAGGCTTTTTCTAGTTTATTCTGATTAAAGCAAATTTTATAAATTAAAAACATATTGTATTTGCTAGCATGATTAAATGGCAGGCCTTTTTGTCATACGTAAATGAACGTGAATGAATATGCAATCACAGCTTAGTGGACGCACAGAAAAGGAGTATTGCCTCTTTTCATTGAGTCCCTCTTCTCAAGCCTGATGAGTGTATTGGCTGTGGCCTCCTGCAGTCGTGGTAAATGGATTAAAGACATATTCTGGCTAAAGTTGCTTGGCTTGCTACTTTTTTTACCTCTGGACAGCTTGATATATCCTCTTCTATAATACTATGCTAGAAATCTCATTTGCAGTAGGCATTTACTTCTTAAAAAAACTACAACCAGCAAACCCCACAAACCAAATTGCAGCTCTGAAGGACTTTGTTTATGTTTTACGATTTGTAGATTATGCTAATGATACAGAGGGGAGTCTGTGGCAGAGTTATGTTATCAACAGATACTTTCACAAGTATCTGTGGTAAAATATTCTTTCGTAAGCTTCCACTTAGAACTAAAGCAGACTGACCTGTTTACAAGTATGTCACTACTGGATGTCCTTAAAACAAATGAACACTGAATACGCTCTTTCAGAGTAAGCTGTGTGTACTTGGAATGGTTCAGTGCAACGTAAGGGTCCAACCCTTCCACTCATCTGGCCTTGTTCATCCTAACCTCCAGGAATACTTACATGATGAAAGCAGCTGCTTTGTTGGGGTTCTTCTCTCCTGGTGAATCGTGTGCATCTGCATTTCAAAGTCATGGAAGAGCAGGAAATGGCTAATTTGGAGGCTCAGCCTTTTCCTTGAGCCCCCGTGTATGGTTTCAGCATTGCCTTTGCTCCAGGCAGTCTTGCTTCCCAGAGGATTTCACTCCAGATCTAGCATTGCAAAAGCAGCATCAAAGGTCAGTCCTGTTGCTTCTGCAAAGAACCTCTTTTTTTTTTTAGGCTTTGGAATGTGTGGCAGTCAGTCCCACTGTGTCTGTTAGGGACCATCTGCTTTCATAAGCCACTAGGGTGGCAGAGTGTGGAAACAAGGTGACTGCAGGCTATTGTAAGAACAAAAAATTTGACATTCGAGTTGACATGCACTAAGCACTGAGTATTTGACATCTTTCCTACTCTCCCACACCTCGCTTTTCTGATTAATATTCAAAAATATTCAGGAACCCATTCTGCTGCTGATGAGCCTAGAACTTGGATACGACTGTATGGTTTTGAATAAGATGTGCTTCTTTTGAAGTTAATCTGTCATTTTGCTATATATATTCACTGATTAATACATGTGTGTATGTATAAGATTTTTTTAAAACCTAGCTTGTATTCCATTTTAGATTGTCATGAGGACTAACTTATTCCAGATAACTGCTCAACCTTTTCCCTTTCAGACTTTCAGATAATGGAAATTTTCAGGAGTCTCTTTAATAGTTATTAAAAGAATTCTGTCACTTCATTAAGGAGCACTGAGAAAGCATAAATGGCTAGGCGAACATCAGTGTAGTTCTGCAGGCATTTGTCTTGGGACCTGCCATGTTTTAGGTTTCTTTAAAGTTTTTTTCAAACCACAACAAAAAAGACTCCATTACTGTGATGGCACAGAAGGATTGGGGTATTGCAGAAGAACTGAATGACAATACTGCAACACAAATACTGTGTTAGAAGTAAAACGCAATTCAGAACTATGCAGTGCAGATCATGTATTTAAAGAGTACAAAGAGAATGGCTATTTCAGCAGGGGTGGAGGAACTGCACAGTTTTATGTGTTAATGCAGAGCTACAAATAGCTACTGTGTCTCTGAAAGGGTTGAATGTGACTTGACATGACATCAGAGGTACACCTAACAATAGTATAGAAACACCTGTGAAGTATTAGTATGTGTAAATATAGCAGTAAGTATTAAATTAAGAAAGATACTGGTGAAACTTCATGCAATGCTTGGGCATAGTTTTGTATCTCTGGTCTGAAGGTGAATTCAAATTGAAGCAGGTGTGGAGAAGAGCTACAATGGATAGTCTTGTAGACTCAGTCTTGCCATTGGATATTGATGACTGAGAAAGAATACAGTTCCTCTGAATTTAGGAGGTAAAAAACAGTTTGGGAAATGCTATTTATACTAAAGAGCAGTAGTGATCTGAAAACATTGAGTATAAACAGATTATGAACTCAGATTAAAAATTGGAGAAATATTTGTAAAGATCAAAGGAGTGACTTTAAAAAAAAACAGTCCTCAAGAAATAATAGCAGAAACAAAAACTGTATTTAATTTAAGACTAGTTTTGAAAGTTGACATTGTCTCTAGCAGATGGAGACAGATGTGATTACCCAGTGGGTCCACAATTTTGTACGTCCGTAATGTTAACAGAGGAATTAGAAATTCAACTTCGATTTGATGATGTGTTATACTTCTTAATAACTTAATCTATGTAAGGCACTGATATGGATTAGAGTAAATAAGTTTTTTGGGAAAGAGCTTTTTGAAAATACCAACTAAGATTGGTACTTAGAACGTATCTTCAATCTGCACAGGAGTTCCTTGAATCAACGACTTGGTATTATGAAGTGAGGTTAATATAAAGCACAAGTAACCTCAGTGAAGAGATGGAAGCTCAAAACTGTAGCTGTGAATGGGACTGAGGCAGAGTTTTATTTACATTGTAGTTTGATTTCAGTTTAGGACACTCAAATAGATTTGGTGTTTCATGTAGGGCCAGTTTGGCTGCAGTCTGGTTTAGTTTAAAAAGGGTGTGATCCAGAGCTTTATAAGGTGCCTCACCCAGCTGTTCAAATATTTTGTTTTACTTTGTGATTTATAGTAAAATGTGTAGGATTATAGTGAAGCTTTTCTGGCAATATGTACAATAATGCTATGGAAATAAAATACTGACTTAGTAAACGAAAGAACATTAAAGGTCACCAAAAGTCCAAACTGAAAATTGCAAAGTCTTTTGGGAGGAGTTAACTATTTGTGTTAATGAAAATAGCAAATGCTAATGTGTATAATTATTCTACCCCTAGGAACCAGATGTGCTACTGATTTTGCTGAAGTTCCCTCAATTCTGATGGAGTACTTTGCAAATGACTATCGAGTGGTTAACCAGTTTGCAAGGCATTATAAAACGGGACAGGTAGGGAAAATTAATATGCAAAATATTGAAAATAGGTATAAGTGTATTCAGGAAAAGGATCACATTTTCATGTGTTATTTATTAATGAAGTTTAAAGTAGAAATAAACAATAGATAGAGATTAATATTATAATTTCAATTATTTAGGAAAAAAGTTGATATTCTTATTGCAGAAAAGATAAATGTAGTCTGAAAAAGAATAACATCTCTACATCCACTGTTCTAATTACATGTTTAAAACTTTCAAGCTTTTTTTCCTGCAAAGGTTGTGTAATTTCTACACTACACTACACAGTGTAGTAGCTGAACAACTTCTGTGTGAATCAAGTTATGTGGAATGTTTTAATTTACTTACAATTAAGTTATGACAACATTAGTGATCCATCTTGAATTTCTCAAAGTCTGCCTTGAAATGAAGCTCCGGTACCAACCAATGGAAATTAAATGGAAATTATGTGCAGCATTTAAAACCTCCCAATTTTAGCCCAGTGTAGAGTAGCAATTGGACTGTTTTGTGATGAAGGCTCTACTGCTTCATTTAGGATTAGATTAGGATTAGATTTTGGCTGTTGTGAATCTCTCCATTAAAACTCTGATCCTTTTTCTGTGTAAAGCTATTCTATGGCAGCCCGCTGCAAGGATCTACTTTTGGTAGGGAATTTAGAAAACAGTGTTCATAGTTACTTTTGATGGTCATTTTCACACATGGCAGCAGAACATGATTTATATTTGTCCAGCCATTTCAAAAGTACAAGCCAGTAAACAATAACTCAAGACCTGCTTTTAATGCTCTTGGTAAAGGCAAGTTTCAGTGTATTCAGATATAACGGCTGAAGAGTAGACTACCCATCAATGCAAAAACAAGGCCACTTAATTGAAGCTTTTCATCCAATACTCAGTATTCGTTACAGTTCTGTACTGTCAAAGTGGAACTATGTTCTCTTCCGTTGAACAGTTAGAAAAATATGTTGCTTAATTTCTAATTTAATAGATGCTGGCTGAAGAATTTGCTCTGTAAATCTGCCTTTTTTTTTTTTAGCAGAGCAATCGTTTCTGCAGAAAATGATTGCACCAAGAAAGTCTCCTTGAAAGCTGGCAGTTACAAGTACTCAATTCAGTAGTGTTCATCATTCATGTGTCCACACACTGAAATACTACTTTCTAGTGTTTTCTATAAAGTTCATGTAGTGTTCAAACATCGTGGAGTTAACCTGACTGCGTATGAGATCCAAGAATGAGCTTGACTAAAACATCTGAAAGAGATTTGTGGAGCGTTATTTATGGCTTTGCATTTTCAAAATGTCTTAACAAATCTAAACCATGTTTAGTTGCACTGCAAAAACTGAAAACCAGACAGTGTGTCCCATTTGGCATTTCCATAAACTTCTTTTGTTTATTGGTGGTGAAATCTTGCCCTTTCAGAGAGCAACTGAGAGAGGCTTGATGTAGAAATTTAGTCTTGAAGGGGGCAAGAATGGATTATTCTGGAAGATGAGAAAAAGAGGCTGAAACTGCTATGTGGCTTTTGAGGGCTTTAGATGGCTTCCTTTCAATTGCCTTTTTTAAAATTTAGAATTTACTTTTAAGCCATTATCCAACATATAGAAATCGTTTTTTGCTTATGTTGGTTCATTTAAGCAAGGTTTAAGAATCTGATATTGGATTTCTGTATCTGTCCTTTAAATACACATAAGTTGAAGTAATCTTTGCTGTTCTCTAAGTTTAGTGGTTGTTACAGCAGTTACTTTTATCTATTGTGTATGTGTTACAAAGTACTTTGAACAGGATCACCTAGCGCTCTTACATTTACAACTTCACAGAAATCGTTTTGGGGCTTATTTTTTCTTTTCTTGTTCCCTGACTAATTTTTTTGGTGTGCAAATAGAAATTTTCTTCCCCTTTTTTTTAGATATATGGAAGAAATTTAGATATAAGGAAGAAATTCCTCACAATGAGAGAGATGAAGCACTGGAACAGGCTGCCCGAGGAGGTTGTGGGTGCCCCATCCCTGGAAGTGTTCAAGGCCAGGCTGGATGGAGCTTTGAGCAATCTGGGCTAGTGGGAAAGAGGTGTCCGTGCCAACAGCAAAGGAGTTGGAACTAGATGATCTTCAGGGTCCCTTCCAACCTTAACCATTCTAGGATTCTAAGTTATCTGAAAGAAAAATTAGTCCACTTTGCCCCCTTTTCAAGGGGAAGTAGGGAAGGTGGATGATGTTTCACTGCTGTTAAAATGTGAAACCGTTTCAACAAAATGTTGTTCCATATGAGAGCTTCTGTAAAGTTTCTTCTTATGAGTAAATAGGCTGAGCTTTTCTATGCAAGAAATCATTCCTGCAGCAGCAACATCAAGATAGCTCTGCTGGATGTGGACAGAAGGAAGGTTTTTTACCGTCCTAGCTTCTAGAGCAGGCAGTGCAGATAATTTAAAAAAGCATCCTTCTTTTGAGATTGCTGCATCAATGCCATAGTTTTTGAATGTAAATTTTAGGTGGAGCCATTTTTAACGCTCCCACTGAACATAACTATGTTAGCAAAACTTGGTAGCATATTCTCAGCTTATGGTTACTCTTGCCATAAAAGCCAATTGTAGAAGGAATGCTCTCCTGAGGATCCTCACTTAGGATCAGTTGCTTATGGGAAGAAGAGGGGGAAGAGGTGTTGTTTTTATTATTAAAACGTGTGAACTGTTTAAACCAACTTTTTAGTAGCGTTGCAGAAAAGAATTCGGTTGGCGGACTTTCAAATGTGAGAATGCATTATGCATATACATGTGGATCATGAGGATCCGGTCCAAGATATCTTGAAGTGGTTGGAATGGTCATTGTGCTGTTGAGTACTGAGGAGTGAAAAAGCTTGCGAGCTCTTCTGGCAAAAGGAGCACGTTGTCTGAATTTAGTTTTGAAAGCTGGCCAGCACAAAAATATTTGTTCCAAGGAAGTAGCAAGCCTAGTTTTCCTTTCATCTTACAGATAACTCAGAAAATCATTGAGGGGAAAAAAAAATAAAAGGAATGAATTAGTAACTAAAGTTGAATTACTAAGGTAAGCTCTGAAAGTCAAGTAGCACCAAAATGAGGTCATAACAGTGCTGAGGAGATGATCTGGTGCATGAGTACCACACCGTATCACTCTGCCTGTTTGTTTAATTTTGTTTGTTAAGGGCACAGATATGTGGTAGGTCTATTGAGCCAAATCATTTTAAGCTTGTGTGTCTTTGGAGGCTCTCTTGAACAAAGGCCAGTATTTCAGCTGTTCAAATTTGAACTGGCTTCATTTTTCACAGAGATGAAATTACAAAGGCAGTATTGTATTAGCATGATTACAAGAATAAGCCCACAGATAGTAAACAGTCATAATGTGTCGTGGTTAAGACACTGCAATAGGGATTTAAGTGGCTCTGGGACACGGGGAGTTCTGTTCTTTTAGCCACCGTGACAAACATGCTGAAAAATGCATACCAAGGTCTTAAAGTTACTTGACGTAGAAGGATGGAAAAGTGGAACTCAAGTTAAAGCACATAGTACTTAAATTTAAAAAAATGAATGGTTATTCAATTAACATAGTTTAAGCCAAAGCTCTGTGAAGTCTTTCTTGTAGAAGGAGGATGACAGTTTGATTCTGCTTATATCAGAGAGTTCATCTTTCAAGATGTAATGTGATCATCCTGGTGCATTTTTTCTTCATTCAGCTTATTAAGGGTCTGAATGAGATTGTGATGGAGCAAGAAGAAATAATTTCTATTGCCTGAAACAATACCTCTTCCTCAGTACATTCAAGACCCCAGCATATCTGTGTTCCTGGTGTTCACAAAAACAAACTCAGGAGAGGAGTGGTGATCTTTGCAAAGCCCCCTGGAGTATAATTTTAGTTCTCTGTAATCTTAAATTTTAAAATCCCAAAGGTGCTTTGGGAAAAATAGTTGATCTCCTTTTTACCATTCTTTCAATTTAATCTAATTTTGGCAGTGTTCTTCTGATGCCAAATTCTGCTTGGCTTGTGAATTATGATCACGACACCATCTTTGAGCCAGATCAGATTAGATAGATTTAAGCAAAAGAACATTCGTGTCTTTCTCCTGTGCCTTTTGTCAAGAGGTATTGACATTAGAATGACTTGTAGTTTTCTATTGATGTTAATCTGCTCAAACAGTAGAGCTTGATCTTCAGGACAAAATAGATCTATATTGTTTGTTTGATATTTATATGTCTGCAAAAAAAGAATAACGTAGCAGTTTGACCCTGGCTGGAGGCCAGATGCCCACCACAGCCATTCCATCACTCCCCCTCCTCAGCTAGACAGGGGAGAGAAAATATAACAAAGGGCTTGTGGGTCAAGATAAGGACAGGGAGATGACTTGTGATTACCGTCAAGGGCAAAACAGACTCGACTTTGGGGATATTAATTTAGTTTATTAACAATCAAATTAGAGAAAGGCAATGAGAAGTGAAACCAAATCTTAAAAATAATGTGCTCTCCCACCCCCCCTTCTTCCTAGGCTTAGTTTTACTCTTGATTTCTCCATCTCCTGCCCCTGAGCAGCGTATGGGGACAGGCAATGGGAGTTGCAGTCGGCTCATTAGATGTTTCTCTGCTGCTCCTTCTTCCTCTGGGCGAGGTCTCCTCACTTTTCCCTTGCTCCAGCGTGGGGTCCCTCTCACAGGAGTCAGTTCTTCACAAACTTTCTCCAAAGTGAGTCCTTCTTACAAGAGATGGTTCTTGACAAACTGCCCCAATGTGAGTCCTCTCCATGGGGTGCAGTCCTTCAGGATCAGACTGCTCCAGTGCGAGTCCCAGATGGGGTCACAGGTTGTGCCAGCAAACCTGCTCTGGCGTGGGCTCCTCTCTCCATGAGGTCCACAGGTCCTACCAGGAGCCTGCCCCAGTGCTGGCTCTCCATGGGGTCACAGCCCCCTTTGGGCATCCACGTGCTCCAATGTGGGGTCCTCCACGGGCTGCAGGTGGACACCTACACCCCTCCATGGGCTGCAGGGGCACAGCCTGCCTCGCTATGGTCTTCACCTCAGCTCAGGGGAATCTGCTCTGGCACCTGGAGCACATCTTCCCCACCTTCTTCACCTTGATGTCTGCACATACTCTTACTCCTTTCTCTCTCTGCAATTGCAGTAGGTTTTTTTGCTGCTTCTTAAATAATGCTATCACAGAGGTGTTACCACCATCACTAATAGGCTCAGCCTTGGCCAGCAATGGATCCATCTTTGGAGTGGGCTGGCACTGGCTCTCTGGGACATTGGGGAAGCTTCTGGCAGCTTCTCACAGACACCACCCCTACAACCCCCCTACTGAAACCTAATACAGATAAGATTTTCTTGGAGCTCTTGGTTTTACCTGCTTTTTACTTGGTTTCTAGATGGTGTTGCTAAGCCATCTCCTGTGCAAAGAGATTTTAGTACATCGTTAATAACTCTGTGTCTCCCCTCAGGAATTCGATGTAGAATAGGGTAGATGCTTGTAGCAGAGCATAAGGAAGAAGCGTGTGAATGTAGAGGCTGCCTTCTCTGAGCAGTCTTCTCTGGCTTGAGGTCAGCTATTTGCAGTACCGTCAAAAGAAGGCGAGAGTGTCTTGGGTGGAGAGTCTGTAAGAAATGCTCAGCTCTGAATTGAGAATTGGTCCTTCTTCAGTTGTTTCTTGATCAGGACTGAATGTGACCAGCTCTCCCAGGGAGCATACAAAGTCTGTCTGCATTGCCAAACCTTGCTGCTCCTACAGTTCCCCTCAGTGAACTGCAAACTTGGATTTCTCAATTCAGTTGAGGATCTGTGGGACTGTGGTTTACCAAAATTTCAGTTAGGAAAGTCTTGGTGCCTCTTGCTCTGTTTATTTTGTGTACAAGCTGAAAGCCTATGCCAGAAAAAAAACCCACTGGCCAGACTACTGATTTATCATGTTAGACTTCTACTTTTGACAGATATATCCTGCTATTAGACAAATGTATGTTGTTTCATTAAGTCTAGTAGAGTTAATTTCTAATCTACAATATATCGATATCAGTACTTCACTAGGAAATTAAAGCCTCCAAAAAGCTGCCAAAACTTGCTGATAGGTTTGGTGCTTAATAACAAAAGTTGTTCAGAACTCCATATGTTTCCTTACACAAGGGTTTCTTGCATGGCAACTGAAACTGTGTTATTGCAAACCCACACTTGCTTTAGTTCCAGGATGCAATGTCATTGAAGAGGATGAGACAAGAAATGTTCATAGAGTCAGGAGAAAAGTTGTCCTACCAAAATACTTCTTACCATTTGTGACTTTTTTTCCTACTTTGTTTCTTGCCTTACTAACTTTCTCACATGATTAAATAATATTTGGAGCAATACTAAATCCAGTATTAAACCTCAAGACAGTCAACTACTAACGTCTTTATTACTATGGATAGCTGCCCATTTACTCTTGCTCTAGTAGTGCAAAATCATCGCGTAGTTTGAAACAGATTTTTTGCATTTGGGAAGGGTATATGCTGACCTAACAAGGATACACTGTAGGACTGACCTCATGTTCATTGGTTCGTTTTTCTGTGTTGAAATTTAACAGCTGTGCATGTTTATGACAGGCAAAATAGTGGGTGTTGTTCTATCTCATTCTTGACCCAGCTAACGTTTGACTTGGGTAAGAGGTTACAAGCCTTGGCAAGTTACTGCATAAAACAGCTGTGCAGCTTGAGAATTTCTCTTATCTGCTTTAACTTCCAGATTCCACAGAGTTAATTGATAACATTTTCCTCACATGTAACTTCTCTAGAGTTGTTTTTTTTATACTGTGAACATTAACACTGTTTGTCTTTAGTCATATCCTTTACACAGAATCTAAACATGTGGCTCTGCCACCAGGATCAGTAGACTTTTTGTGTATTATTTCTTAAACACTTCAGCACACTGTAAAAATGTAGATATGCTTTTAGAGTTCAGTGTAATGTTAAACATCTGTATTGCATTGTACAACTTTTAGTAACTTTCTTAATATTGTAGCAAGAACCCAGGTATTTTACCTGTGTTTAATATGGTTGGTTAATAAAACTGCTAGGAAAAAGAATAGGCTTTCTAGGAAAAACATCTAGTGAAAAGCTTCAGGAAGAAATGGACAGAGTGTAAGGTCAACCATTCATATACAGATATTCTTAAAAATCTGACGTGAAAAAGTCTTTGGATGTACTTGTCTGGTTAGAAAGTCTAGAAGAGTCGGCTTAATTGAATTGGCATAGAGGTGGAATAATGGCAACTTTGTTAAAAGTTTCAAAGGGTAGATAGTTACTGTTCAGTACAACCGAACGTTTTTATGTAGTTTAGGGTAGAAGGCCAGATGCTGTCCCAGTAGAAGTTATGAAAACTCTGCCCGCTCACTGGGAGTGAACTCTGCTCAGAGAGCAACGGGAGGATCTGTTATAACACCTGCTTTTGAAGACAGGACAGGATGACCTGGGAGGACTTCAACTGCCCCATTTGTTCTTTATCTGTATCTTCATCTCTTTATCTCTAAAGATAGTCATAATATTTTCAACAGGCATATAAGGGAACATAGGATCAATTCATAGAAAAACAAACACTGAGACACTGTGATTTCTTGATTGCCATGGAAATTACTGCTGGTATCTTAATTGCTTATTTAATGTTTTGTTTAGCAAATTGTATTTCCTTCCTCAATGCAAATTACTTCAAATATGTTTTTATTACCACCAGGATTCTTTTTTTTCATCTTCAGCTTTTCTTGTAGTAAGCACACTATTTACAAACATACACCAATTCTAAATACATTCTTTTTTTTTTTCTTTTTATTCAAGCCACTACCAAAAAACATGGTGTCAAGACTATGTGAGTCCAAAAAGGTGTGCGCTGCAGCTGATATGCAACTCCAGGTATGTTCTTTGCATTCTAGACTCTACTCTCTGTCTAGAACTTACAGAACATATTTTAATTCTTATAATTTACCAGGTTTTTATTTTAATGTAGACACAGTATCTAGCTGCACGCAAATTAGTGAAAATAAATTCTTTTTGATGTTAGTTTTTGTGTTTGTTTTTGTGAGCATGTTCTGTGCTGTCTATTTAAAGCTACATGTCCAAATCTGTAGAAAAATACCATGACATCGACAGCTTTTGAAAATGGTTGGATTATCAGTTCTTAAATTAATGGAATCATTTAAGGCAAACTTGCAGTAGAGGAAGTGTTACATACTTTTGGATCATTGAAGTGCAAGAGGACTGAGAGATACAGGCCACCTTAGTAAAATCAAACTAGCTTATTTATTTACTAGAATGTAATTTGAGTTGCTTCTCTTCTACAGTTCCAGTATGAAAGCAGCAACTTGTTATTGCCATGAGTCTGTAGGACTTCTCTCTCACAGTGTTAGGAGTAGTAATTAAACTCATAAACCTTTATCTTCTGTGGGTAGATGTGATTGATCAAACATTCCCATAAACAAACTATCAGTGTTGCTTTTCTCTAAAGGAGATAAAGGAAATTAGAGTTCTATCTAAGTGGATATTTAGTCTTTTTCAGTCAGTCTTGCAGCAGTTCAAGAAGGTTAGTGTCCAGCAAAGTTTTATTACAGCGAGAATTTGGCTTTGTTTAGGATGCTACAAGCTTGTGCTATGCAATTTTTGTGATTTCATTTTCTTCTTTGTTTTACTTTAAGCCAGAGGCGTGTAATTTTTCTTTTTGACTTAAGTGTTTAGGTGAGATAACTCTGCTGGTACCTTAGTAAAGGGCAATCATTATTTTTGAGATGTGGTAGGAAACAAATTTAAAGCTCAGGTCTTTGTAATTCTTCACTTTGAAAAGTGCCCAAATGATTGCAACCCTGTCTGCAAGCATGAGTTGCACTGGTTAAGTGAAGTTGTTTTAAAATAAAGACTTAGTTAAATATTTGCAGTTTTCTCTGTGCAGTTATTTATAGTGATTTAAAACTAGTCAGAATACTGGAGTGTGGACCTGTAAATGTGTACATATCAGTTACACTAATCAAGACCAGACTGCACGCTATTTTCAGTGTGTACATATATTTTTCATTGGTTAAACTTAACAGACTTCTGAATTATGCTTTCAGCACAGCACTAGCTGTCAGTGGCCAGTGTTGGCTGTGCAGGTGTGAACAAGGATACCAATGGTACTTGTGGTTATACCTTCGTGACATGAAAATAATTGAACCCTCTTTGGAAGTCTGATTCTGAAATGCACGTGCATGGGTCTGAAACCTCCTACAGAGAGAGCTGAGAATCCAGAAAGAATGTGGGCAGAAATACAATTAATTCATACAGGTGTTGGTTTTTTTTTTTTTTTTAAAAAATAATGCAATTATAGATTAAAATAAAATTTGTACTGAGAATGATTAGTGGTGGGTCTCTATTTATGAAGACCACCAACACAATAATTTACCAATGTGCAGTAACCACAAAAGTGATGATCAAGTGCTTTCACGTGCGTACATTCTTTTCTGGCGTGTTTGTAACAGTTTATTTATAGATCTGGCAGACTTCTTTTCAACTTGTAATATATATTTGTTGTAATCTTGTCAAGGTTTGAGACCAAATTCACAGTGTGGGGGCTAAATGGGCTTGCAAACCAAGAACACTAGTAAGTCACAGATATATTAACAAAAGGTGTGGCATCCCTGTCGTGTGGCAGGGGACATGGTGTGCTCCAGAAGTCAATGAGAAGGGTTATTGGTTCAGTCCCATGGGATGAGCTGCGCAACCCTCCTGCCGCTGTTGGCCCTCGACTGCTCCTGGGGCCTCTGTAGGGTCTGTCTCAGAGTGAGTCCAGACCCCGTAGCTTTAGAACTGGGGAGAGAACACCCACTTCTGGTGGGCTCGCATTCCTGTGGGCGCCTAAAGACCGACTGGTGCTGGCAACGATGCAGTGATTAGGCAGGCTACTTGCCCTCAAATTACTTTTCTGTAACTAATGTTCAACCAGTCTCAATGTGTGCCAAATGACCACAATGCCACACTGAATAGTATTTCTGATTTCCTACTTTCAGCACTGTGTTTCTGAGATTTCAGATATAATAGCCACAGAAATATGCACTCATTTCAAAGACAAAGACTGGCAGAGACATTCTGTTTGTTAAATCAGCAAAAATGTCCCGCAGAAGTTGACTGCGTGGCAAATACAAAGTTCATACATTCCTTTGTAGAAATGTGTATTGTTACTTGTGCAGATTTAAAAGTATAATAATTCATTGAAGAACAGGCCTTACCCAGAGGGTGGCAGTAAATAGTTCTTTCACAGACTGGCAGCCAGTCACAAGTGGGGTCCCCAAGGGATCAGTATTGGGCCAAACACTGTTTGTTATCTTCATAAATGATCTGGATGTTGGGGTCAAGAGCATTGTGATGAAGTTTGTGGATGACACTGAAATAAGTGGGGAAGTTGACCCTCCAGAAGAGGAAGAGCCACCCTCTAGGAAGACCTAGACAGGCTGGAGGAGTGGGCTAGCAGGAACCTTATGAAGTTCAGTTGGGACAGTTCCACCTGGGAATACACAACCCATGAACGCAGCTCAGATTGGGATCCACCAGGCTGGAGAGCAGCCCTTTAGAGAGGGACCTGGGGGACTTGGTGGACATCAGGCTCAACATGAGTGAACAGTGCGCTGCAGCAGCAAAGATAGCCAACAGGATCCTGTGCTGCATTAACAAGGGCATCACCAGCAGAGATAAACAAGTCATCGTACCACTCAGCGCTGATCAGACCAAACCCTGAGTACTGTGTTCAGTTGTGGTCCCTGCTATACAAAAAAGATGGGAACAGGCTGGAAAGGGTCCAGAGAAGGATCGCAAAGATGATCAGAGGACTAGAAGACCTCTAATGTGAAGAAAGGCTGAGAGAAGTGGGTTTGTTCAGCCTTGAGAAGAGAAGGCTCAGGGAAGATCTTATTTACCATGTACCAGTACACAAAGGGTGGCTACCAAGAAGGTGGAGACTCCCTTTTTACAAGGAGTCATGGGTACAAGTTGCTCCTGGGGAGATTCTGACTGGACTCCAGAGGAGAATTTTTCGCCATGAGGGCAATCAGCCATTAGAATAATCTTCAAAGAGAAGTGGTGGATTCCCCGACTTTACACCATTTTAAGGTTTGGCTTGACAGGATGCTGGGCCATTTTGTTTAAACTGCATTTCTTTACCTTAAAGAGTTGGACTAGATGGTCCCTTCCAACCTGGTATTCTATGATTCTATGAACATATACTGCCAAAGTATTTTTGTACTGCTAATGTATATATCTGAAAAAAAATGTGAATGATAACTCTAATAACTTCCCTTCAGACTTTGCAAAGAGCATACTCTATGTGGGTGATGAGCCATATCTGATCTTTAAAAGAAAGAAAAAGGCTTACAAATTTTCCAGCAGTGAGGAAAATGCCTAAAGGCCCTTCGCTGTTCTGTTCAGAAAATTATTCTATTGGCATGTGAAAATAAGAAATTATGCTGGCTTTTTACTATAACTAAAATACCTCTACATTTTCTTCCGACTCAGGTAATCAGTTACTCGAGAGAAAAGGCAGGAGAATCCACACATCTTCTTGTAAGGCTTTTTGCCATGCAGATCGAGTCCCAGAGTCTTTCAGTCAGTGGTAACTTCACTGGAAAATGCGTAACTGTTTACATATTCATGCTCTTAAGCAGACAAGGAGCTAGGAAGAACTGGAATCGAGTGAAACTAATAAATACCAGTGTCAGTGCAAACTAGACAAACAGTATGAAGAGAGGTAACTATTTGATGGCCTTTTAATATTTTTAGGTCTTTTGGGAAATGTGTTTTATTGAAATTAGAAATCATTTTGTAGCTACTGCTTAATACTAAGTGTTAGCATGCTCCTCAGTAGTATTGCCTGAAATCCTGTGGTCCTGGGATATGTCTCTGTCTCCCATTTCAAAGGCCTGTGTAAACACTCAGAACTGTGATTTGTAGATGGGAATGCTTATGGCTATAAAGTTCATACAAGTTTATTTTTCAGGGATGGATTTCTTTTTTTTTAAGCTATGCTGTCCAGGTGGCCTGGCTCATAGCTTTCTTCCCACGCTTTACATGTGCCAGGATCGGTGGAAAGCTTATGGCTGGCTTCAGTGACTCATTTCCCTACCACCACAGTGTTCTTTAGGCAGTCCGTTCCACAGGCCTTCAGCTGACGTATCCCCACTGTTTGAATCCAGATTTTTCATTAGAGAGGGTTACGCTGCAGTGTAGTGTGTTCCAGCTTGTGAGGAACACTCAAGAGCAACCGCAAACAGGTCCTACCAAAGCTGGGGGACAGAGGAAAGAGGCTCGTGTCTGGTTTTGCTTTTTGTGGAGGAAAGGGAAGTTGGTGTGAAATGACTCCTGCAGAGTCACAAAGGCCTCTGGTTACAGGAGAAAGTGAGTTTCCTAGGACTGTTACATTAGGTAATTTTCAGATCTATTCACGGTTCTTTCTGTTGGTCGTATTCTCACTCATCTTTGCAACTATAAATGCTGTAGCTTTTGTTAAACTTCATTAAAAAATGAACCGGGATTCTAGAGACCAGCTCTGAGGATGAAAACTAAAAGCAAAGCATTGCAAAGCCTCTTTCTTTTCTAAGATAAGAATGAAAAATAGTGTAGTTTTTCACAATCTAGTGTAGGTTTTTATTTAGATTTTTAGTTTTTCATGCTGTCAGCGTAAGAATGGAAAAATGAAAGTAGCCCTGCAAAATTTAGTTTTAAAAAATGAACTGCTCGTTATTGTTTGCCATTTTGTGCAGTGTCTTCATGGATTTATCCTCTGAAGAGATGTTTGCTGCCTGCTCTGTGTTAGTAGATGAGCAATCTTAAATGCTTGTGTCTCTTGTTCAATATTGCTATCTGAGGCATATATAAAACTTGAAATGTCATTAATGGCTGATTGTGCAGGTTTAAGTCTTGCTGACCTTTTTTTTCTCCTCATTAACTATGTAGGAAGCAAGCAGGAAGTTTAGGAGTAGCTCCTGCAAGTTGTGGCTTCTTCACTCCTCTGCTTATAACACTTAGTTTTTCTTGAAGAAAAAATCAACCTTCACATTTATCATTTCTCAACAAATACTTTCAAAGGATTTATCAAAATTCTGTATGTTAGAAAACAACTTATTCATACAGAAGAAATACAGTCCATTATACATGTAGACATTAGAAACAGTCACAATTTTGTTGAAAGTATGCATTGTATCCAGCCCAAATAAAACAAATGTTGAATTTTGATGAATTATTAAAGCATCCAGAATGGTTTTCTACCCAAATTTTGTAATAAAGAATCTTTTCACAGGTTGAGGGGGTTGTATAATTCAGATCACGTAAAACATCCATTTTCCGTGGATGGAGAATGCCTCCAAACAGCCTTTCATCCATAAAATTTCTGCATTTCATGGTTTTAATTCCTAAACCAGTGTGTTTATCTCATTGGGAATGGTACTGCAGTGTCCCTGGGAGTGTGACTGGGCCTGAATCTCTAGCCAAATTATTTGCTTCACAAAAGCGTTTTGAGGCTCCCTAGTGTCAGTTTTTCTATGAAGTGTGCCTACCACAGGATGTCCTGACCTCAACTCTTCAGCTTAAATATTTGGCCCCACGAAACCTCTCAAACTTGTCTCATGTTACACAGCAGTGGGTGTCCTCTTGTTCTGTCTTGCCTGCACTTCCACTGAATAGGAAATCTTCATATTAAAAAAAAAAGTTGCTTTTTTTTTTCAGTGATGGCACACACTGAGCCTTGCCACTGTCTTCTATCCATGCCAAGTTCATTTTTGCTGTTAAAGTGCCTGATACTCTGCTTTGCTATCTTTGCTTGAAAAGTCCTTTTATCAGTGCTGCTTTCCTGATCTGTGAACACCTCAGTAATTCAGTCGTGCTTCTGTGTTTGGCCATAGCTCACGTGCTTCTGCAGAAACTTGCCTATGAACCAGCTCTTACCTCTGGCAAAGTACCCTCCTGGTGCAGTGTAGTCTCAGGCTAAGTTTACACTGCAGCAATTTATTACTCTGATTCTAAGAGGTAAAATAAAGGAAGCATGTGCCTTAGCACTGCACTGTTCTAGTGCTCTGGCAGAAACTCAAGGTCATCAGTAGCTCCATGTACTGCCTGGACTGTGACTTGTCTCTGCAGGTGTGATACATTCTCATGGCTGCGTGCACATGTCTTGGAGTAACTTATTTTTTTGTGTCCACTCAACTAAATTTAAGTCTTTTCATTATATCTGTTTTAAAATACCATTTTTTGAAAAGAGTAATTGCTGGAAGGCTTTAGGGACAGGTCTTAACTTTATTTAAAAATGCAGGTAGTTTAGTTCTGCCAGTGTTCCCAGTGACCTAAACACGAATTTATGTTAGGTCATGATGGTGGTGGTTGGTATACTCCAAACCCCTATTTTTCCCCTTGTATGTATACTAAAACTAGCAGCTTTACAAAACCATATATATTTAAACTCTTCCCTCTCCCTATTCTCTCCCATTCTTTTCCATTTGTTTTTTTGTTGTTGTCAAATGCTAATGCCATGTGCTGAAGACAAACGGGTATTTTATCTCTTCAGGTATTTTATGCTGCCTTGGACCAAATCTACCATGGAAAACATCCTCTAAAAAAGTCAACCACAGAAATTTTAAAGGAAACACAGGAGAAAGTTTATGGATTGCCATATGTGCCTAATACAGTGAGTAGAAACATACTGACTGTATAAGCTACACCTTTTCTTTAATAGCATATTAATACCCCTACCTCTCCCCACCCATTGCCCCAAACACTTGCGTGCTTATTGTTGTATTGTCGTGTTGAAAGAGTTTTCTCTCTTTCAGTCACTCTACCCGGAGTGTAGGATATTGGAAATTTTTCAGCTAAGAATGGGTGTAGTCTCATCAAGCTGAACTTGGTTAATTTAATTTTGTTTTCTCTATTAAGGAAGGCAATGGGAATCATACATTGTAAGGAGGGTTTATTGTAGCTTTGCAAAAGACTGCTGTAAAAGGCAGCAAAATGCTGTGCTGCGTCTTGGTGTTTGTGTGCTCTTAGTGTTAGCATGTGAGAGTAAGTCAGTGTGAAGTAGGACTTGGAAATGAGTTTCTCTCACTGTACTGCTCTGGCCTTTGGCTTATTTATCCTTTCCTATGGCATTTGAAAGTGTTAAAGCTTTGAGCTATAGTGAGCTACGTAATTTTGATCTTTATTGTGACTAATCGTGCATTTGTTCTGTATTTCATGTGACATCCAAAGGTGCAGTTTGCATAGATGGTAGTCGTGAGATTTCCTGGGCTGCCTGAAGCTGAATTCTCAGCCAGAGCCCAAATCACTGTTTGACACTTTGGTCAGAATACCCAGATCTTTTCTTTCTGCTTCTTGGAAAACTTACTTTTCTCCTGAGCAAAAATGTGACTTTTGTTCTCTGAGAAGGATATTAGGAGATCCATGCCCTTTCCTCAATGAAGCTGTGCTGCTACTGTGGGCCTGGCAAAGCCAGAGAAGTGGAAGCAAGATATCTACAAAGTCTGACTTCTTAGAATTTTTAGAAGTGCTCCTTTACACTGTTCTCTGCAGGTGTTATTTATCCTTTGACCAGAACAGTTCTCTGCTTTGGAAGTTAGCCTGATATTTTTGTTCCATTTAAAATATTGGGTTTTTTACTAAAAGAACATAATGTCTTGTAATGAGCATAGCCTCGATATGAAGACAGACAGCAAGTTTTGGCCTGGAACTTTATCCCAGCAAAATGTACCATGAACTTGTGAAATGTCAGAAAGTCTAGTGTGTCTAGTCAAGACTGAGATTTAGATTGGATATTAGAAAAAATTTCTTCACTGAAAGGATTGCTAAGCATTGGAACAGGCTGCCCAGGGAAGTGGTGGAGTCACCGTCCATGGAGATGTTAAAAATCATATAGATATGGCACTTTGGGCCTTGGTTTAGTGGTTATGGTGGTGTGAGGTTGATGGTTTGACTTGATGGTCTTCCAGGTCTTTTCCAGCCTTAATGATTCTATGATTCTATGAGATTCAGTTATGAATTGCTACGTCAGGCTTGTATATCTTAAATTAGTCATATTGGGTAAAAGTAATTCTTCCTTTATGAAGTTCTTAAGTGCATTAATGTGATTTTCTCTAGTAGCATTGTCTGTGAGGACTGCACAAGCATCTGTTGTTATATCCTTCTGATAAACCTTAATTCTCTCTTAATGCTCTTGACAGTAAATATCCCCTGAATGTACTTGAGCTTCAGTCTCATTGTGCAGACTCGTTTTCTGTAGAGGCACAGCATATATTTTCAGCAGATGAATTTTTTTCTTTCTGAGGCACAACTCAGATAATAGGACAATTTGTATGCACCTTTCTGTTATAGTGCTTTCAAAATGAGGCACATAAACTACAAAATAAATGTTGCTCTACCTATGTGATGATGCCTATTTTAAGGTAAACCAAAGCATCATCCTTAGCAAATGTCGTGCATTATGTCCCAACAGTAGGAGGGATAGTGGGAAGAAAATTCTGTCAGAAGTCTGTATTTGCCATTCAGATAAGTTTTACAGGAATTGGGGTACTTGGCACTACATGCAGCAGTATTTACCTTGGCTGTGTTGACACAGACAGTCACAGAAGCTAGTGCCACATGCAAGGCAGAAAGGAAGAATGGAGCAGACTGAAGACAGACGGAAGTACGGAGGAACAGCGCTCCACAAGACTTTATTTTCCTGAAGAATGCAAATCTTGATTTCTGGCTGGTGATTGCTTATCTGTTCAGAAGTACACAGGATTTGCTGCTGGCTCCTGGAGGATGAAATTCCACTGGGATTTCTTCACTCTGTTACTGAATCCAGAAGCTGAGGACTGCCAAGCAGGAAGCAAGGAAGTGTATCTGTCTGGTTTTGTAGTGTCTCGCAGTTTTGTTGCCAAAGGAGATTTGTGTTACAGAGTTTGGAAAATGGATAGAAATTTTGCACAGGCTGAATTCTTGAGTCTTTGTGATACCTTTAAAAAGCAGTTAGTCTTCCTTTCATCTCTTCTGAGAAAGCAAGATAAACCAAATAGTAATGACCACACATTTTCGTGCCAATTCTTCTTGAATGTGCTTGGTGCCAAAATCTGTGCACTGTTGGGAGTTCAATACTCTGCTTTTATTCCAAGATCTTGAATTACTTCTCATTTCTTGTGAAGCCAGTTTCCATTTCCTGTGGCCTGCCTTGCAATTGATAACACTGTCTGCTTTTTAGAGTATCTCCCTTGGTCTCTTCTACCTTTGTCTCCAGGATGCCCAGAGAGACTTTTTAAGAAGTATCAGGTGACCCTTTGATCAACCTGAGACATGATCAAAGTTTCTCCCTTGCTCTGTTGCTTAGTCCTCCGCCTGTCTCCCGAGTTCTGACTTGAAAACTAGTTTCCTTTGAGACAGTCATCAAAACTTAATGATACACCATCGTTAGTTCTGCGCCAAGCATAATAATTCCTATCTCCTGCTGTGGGTTTTGGTTCAATATCGTAACAAAAACTGAGACACAGGGTAAATAGGCTCAGTGGCGATAGTGGAGATTGTGGTCTCCTGTGGTTACAGGAAGGAGCTCCCAATAATGAAGTGGTTCTACAATAAACACCAGATGCCCAAATCATCATACCTGAATTTCCCTTGTGAAATACTGAATTAGTTTGAGTTATTGATTCTTATTTTCAGAAAATTATTATGGGCTTACATATTAATTAAATGTCCGTCCATCATAGTAACCTTTCTTCATTCTAATCTAGAAGTTTGGTGGGAGATGTTGGTTTGGCTTATGATTGTGAGCAAAATGATTTTGAAGAGTGAGCCACAGTGAATCTGGGTTCCTTTTTAGATTGCTGCCAAAGAGTCCCTCTTGCATTTTTTAAAATTACGTGGTCTTCCAGCAAGCTGTTCTTCTAGAAGCACAAGAATTTCTTGTGTGGTACCTGAATGCGAAGTGCAATAGTGGAATTAACCCCCACACATTATAATTATATTTTATAGGAGGGAATGTATGGGCATGTAGGGATCCTTCTGATATTTTTTTGAGCACTAAATAATTTGCTATGCACTTTTTTACTCTAGCCTGTTAGGTACATATTAGTTCATAAGGACCACCTCTACTGGTGGCCTAAAATTTACATCAGTTTCCAGGTTTAATTATACTTATATGCTTTTGTCCAGAGTGCAGGTTTCTCTGGCAGCAAGAGAACTTCTTAATGGCCTGTGATTGGTTGTGGTTGCAGAGACTGAAACACCTGTGAAACCAAATATGTTAGCCAGCCAAGTTTGCCAACAGAAAACAAGACAGGTATTGTTATAGTTGCCCTAGAGGGGAGAAGTGTGAAAAAATGGTGTATCCCCAATGTGGTTGTTAGTCTTTCTTCTTCCTGCAGCTGGGGGTACTCTGCCCAGACAGGGATCCTGACCTCGGAAGGCTCCACCTAGGTCCCTGTCTTAACTTGCTGGGATTGTTTCTGTCATGTTCGTGAGAAAGAAAATCAATGGATGAGATGCAACCTGACGTTTTGGATGCTTGCTCAGGGAGGCTGTGAGGCACTGCAGGAAGATGTGGTTTGCCATGGGTGCTGAGAACACAAGGATTTCATTAACAGGGCACATATAAGGGCATCTGGGAGATTGGTCAGCTGGAGCTGATGTCACTAGAGAGAGAGAACTAGCTTCTCTGAAGAGAGAAAGTAGTTTCTGCATCACCCATTGTCACCATGTGCTCAAGCCCCTTTTTTATTTTGTTGAATACCAGAGAGCAAAAGAGCAGCTGTTTGCCTCTTTTTCCATCTTAGCAGTCTTAGGAGTTTGAGGGTGACCTGGCCTCATGCTTACTTGTGCTAGGTAAGTCAGAAGCCAAAAATTGAGACAATGAGGTTTATGAAGTTCTGTATCGCCATCGCAGTGGAGAGTTTTGTTTTTGATAGGCCTGTTCCTCAGCATACTGAGGGCTGGCTGGCACTTTGAGTGAAGCACCTCGTTATTGAATCTGCCGTCTGTGTCATTGTGGCATCTGTTGCCTTAGGATTTCTTGGTCGGTTTTTGGAGTGACTACTAGTGTGTAGTTATAACTCCAGTCCTGTGTAACATTTCACGTGAGTATCAGCAACACCATACAAAAGGAAATGTAGTCAGGCTGGGCAAATGAAATAAATAAGTGATAAACCTTAACTTCTGAAACTTTGTTCAAGTGGTGAACATAAATCCTGAATTTATCGGTAAGGAAGGCTAAGTAATGGTTGCTTATTAAATTTTAAACTGTGATTTCACTTCATATTTATTTTATCTAAAATCTTCCCAAATTTGTCTTTAGTTAAAATTTTTCTTAACTTAAACTAATGTAACCTTAGAACCAAAGCAAAACTTAAACTGGGTTAAGGGAAGTGAAAAAGAACCACTAAAAGGTAAAGAGGTTTTTAATTACCAAAGAGATTTTTAATTACCAATACTGCAGTGAGGATGAGGGAATAAAATTTATGGTGCTAATAAGTAAGATGCTGAAAAGAACTGAGTGTGAGAAAAAGCCTGTATGTTTGAATATCTGAGAAAAGGAGGTTGTTAGAAAAGTAGAAGCCGTATAAAAGTGTAAAAAATAGAAGACAGGATAAGCTCTAGTGAGCCAAAAGTAAAACTGTGGAATTTTTAAGCTGTTTAAAACCTCAAAATGCCAATAATGATTAAAAA